AGTAAGGATAATCAAATAATGTACGGTATAAATTAATGACAATGAAATAAGGTAATGTAAGTTATAAATACAGTGCAATAATGATAATGATAATAATTGCTATGAGTTAAAATAAGAGAAAAACACTAAATAAAACTACTACAGGGGGCTAGGTTTATCAGATGGTTTATATTTATCAGATGTTTTTTCAGAGCTTGTTTGAGTGAGAGAAGAGACAAGGTAGGATTCTTTAGGGCTGGAGTTCATTCCATAAGGTGACACCTTTGTATCTAACCGACATTTGGGCAAGAGAAGTTTTTACTAGGGTGATATGAAAATCGGAACGTTTGCGAGTTTGATAGTTGTGAATCTGAGAACGAAAATTAAAAAAATCATCAAATGTATCCGGGAGTTTATGGTTTAAATATTTGGCTACGAAAAGTACTAGTTGAAATCTGTTTATGTCATAAATGTTCAAAAGTTTTTTTAATAGAGGTGACGAGTGGGTGTAAAAACTAAAACCAGTGGCAATGCGTAGAAATTTTGTTTGTAGAGTTGATATAGGATGCAGAGAGGTTTTGTATGCATTTCCCCAGACAATATTGCAATATGCGAGGTATGGGTAGATTAAACTGTTATAAATGGTTATAAAGGTTTTTTTAGATAAAAGATGTCTAATTTTCCCTATGATCCCAATTGTTTTTGAAATTTTATTCACAACTATAGCAATGTGAGACTTCCAGGTTAAGCGGTCGTCTATTTGAATTCCTGAAAACTTAGCCTGAGATTCTTTGGAGAGAATGTGGTTTTTTAAGTAGATGGTGGGATTTTTATTTGCCTTATTTTTGCTACAAAGGATAAGATAATAGGTCTTTTTGATATTAACTGATAGTTTGCTTCGAACCATGTAATAACTTTTTCTAATTTTTGGTTGGCTAGTTGAATTAGAGAATCAAAATCTACATGTGAAAGAAAGAGATTAGTATCATCGGCAAATAGTATGAAGAACATAATTTTGGATGCTTCAGCAAGGTTGTTTACATAATAATAAAAACAAGAGGGGCCCTAAAATCGATCCCTGGGGGACTCCGCAATTTATAGGTTTGCAGGAAGAAGAATTATCGTTAAGGACAACGTATTGTTTTCTATCGGATAAATAACTAGTAAACAACTTAAGTGCAACCTCTCTGATGCCATATTTTTCAAGTTTTTTAAAAAGAATCGAATGATTAACAGTGTCAAAAGCCTTACTTAGATCTAAAAATATTCCAATAGTGTATTCGTTGTTATCAATAGCTGTAGTTATTCTATCTATTAGTTGTATAAGTACCATTGAGGTAGAGTATCCCTTTCTAAAGCCGTACTGATGTTTGTACAGAATATCGTTTTGGTCTAGATGTTTTAAAAGTCGTTTGTATATCAGTTTTTCCAAAATGTTTGAGATGCAGGGCAGGATTGAGATTGGGCGGTAATTACTAACTAAGGTAGAATCATTGCTTTTAAATATAGGAATCACTTTTGCAATTTTAGTTGGTTTAGGAACCACTCCGTTCTGGATAGATAAAGTCAGTGTATGAGTAAGAGGGCGTATCATATAAGGTTGCTAAGGTTAATGAGATCTCCGAATTCTTGTTTTATACAGGCTTTGAGAATGTTTTTTTTATTTGGGATTTTTGGCTGTGTCATAGGAAATTTACAATAGCAGTGTGTGTTACCATATTTGGGCATGGGGAGAGAAGCTACATAATTCAGACAGGAACAGATGGGGCCTTGTTTGCAGATGTGATTTCTGATTGGCTGTTCACTTAATTACTTTATCTGCTAAAAGAACACCTGCACATTCGGATAATAGAAACAATTACCCTTTTTAAGGGAGAGTCTTGGGTTGTGCATCAGTGGGGTGAAATTTGCCACATAGCCTACATTTTTATTTACCATGTTTTTTTAAAGCAATTTTTAATTTTTTTTTCAAACAAATTGGCTGCAAATACATGTAGTGGTGTGAAAGGTTTTTTTTAAACACTGTTTATTCAAATCATAAAAACAAGTACAGGTAGAAGTACATATACATACCCAGCTACTTTTAACAACTTTTACAGCCATATCCCCAAAATACACGGACCAATCACAAGGAACAGTCACTAAAAAAAG